ATTTAACACATTTATAATGTATTTGAATACTGTTAAATTATTATAAAAATATAATTACTAAGATATTAATAAATAATAATATCTTTTTGTAATTATATATATATATATATATTTGATTTATAAGATATAATTACATACTATTTAAAAATTATTAATTGATGACTTTCTAGATAGTATAATACATAAGAAATATCAAATTGATAAAATAAGTAAATTTATTATTATATTAATTTATACTATATAAAAGGCTTAAGTATAAAAAATGCGTCCAATTTATGTCTGTTTTTTCAGTTTAGTGCTTAACATTTATTTCGTTTCAGTTTGGTGCCTAACGTTCCATTCTATTACTCAAAATGGGTCAAGTCATGACGGACCGTTAGTTTTCCCCGTTAAGTGACACGGGTCACAATCTCGTAATTTTGAAATTTATTTTTTTAAAAATATTAAAAATATTATTATATTTATTTTAAAAAACCCCTTATTTCTTTTAAATTACAAAAAGTCTCAAAATCCCTAAAATTCTCAAATCCTAACATTAATCCGCAGTCGCCGCCCTTTTCGGCCACAACCAACGCCACCTTCGCCGACGTTGTCTTTGTCATCTTCCTAGTTATAAGTTACAGTAGTTGTCGTCGATTGACCATCGAAATCGCTTGTGATTGTGATTTTTATCTTAGGGTTCGCGGGGTATAAAACATCAATTCGTTGTCGATCGGCTGTTGATCAGTCATGATTTCATGGGGGTTTTGATCACTAGGGATGTGGGGTCGGGTGGAGCTTCATCGGCGGAAAAGGGCGGCGGTCGGCTTGGTTTTGGGGTTGAAATAAAGGTTTTCAAAGTTTTCAGGTTATTTCAAAATTTGTGTTTTCTTTTTTAAAAATATATATAATTTTATTTTTTTTATTTTTTATATAATTTTTAAATTATCATATTGTGACACATGTCACTTAACGGACAAAATTAACGGTCTGTCACGGCTTGAGCTATTTTGAGTAACGGAATAAAACGTTAAACACCAAACTAAAAAAAAATAAACGTTACACACTAAAACTAAAAAAATAGGCATAGATTATGCACCTTTTGTATATTTACACCTATATAAAACTGAAAGTGTTAGGTACTCACTTTTAAAATCGACACGATAGTGTTGCTCTTCCTATTTGGAAGGATACATTTGTCAAATTTTAAAACTAAGATGCCTTGAAATGTACTTTTACCTATTTTAATAGATAAGATTATGATCGAAGATTGTGTCGGTTTTCTTTTGATTTTTCAAACCATACCCAGACAACCGAAGTAACACTACCAAAAATGAACTCCTAAGTCGCTGGTGTGTTCGTCTTCTTTCTTTTTCCTCAATCTTTGTGTATTCCATTGTTAGTTTCCTGTATTCCTGCTGATGGGATAGCTAACTGTATTCTCTTGGTCATTGAGATTGAGATATGTTGCAGCCATTGACGACGACTACGCCTGCCTCCTCGTGCTTGGCGTCAGGTGGAGCGACACACCATGAATACTTCGTCAAGCATTGTTGCTTTACCAGGTGGGTTTTTGTTTTCGCTTATAATGATGCTATTTTCACTTACAATGATGCGACATTGTTCATAGTCATAGTTCTTGTGGGTTCGAACAGTCTGAGTCTCTTGAATTCGGTTTAGTCTTGAATTAGGTTTTTCCCTCAGGTCTCAAAAAACTTTCAGAGGTTCATTGCATTTCAGTTTTGATGATCAAACTTATTCCCGAATCGGAAGAGTAAAAACCAGGTGCCTGCACCACCAACAACATACAGTTCCCAGCATTACATCGGACATTTCAGATGGCACCTGCCAAGAGCACAATGATGTTTCTAAAGCAACCTTGATATGGAGGGCGGTTAAGTTGCCGATTTACTCGGTTGCTCTGGTTCCTTTGACTGTGAGTTACTTTGACACATGGAAGTTTCGACATAAAGAATTGTTTATGTCTGGATAATCCATCTATTAATTAGTTTTACATAGGCTTCTAATATACACCGAGATCATACCGATGAAACTTTCTCGTGTTTAAAGCAATCGGGCGTTATTGTGTAACTAATAGAAACAGCTGCATATCATGTAGGACAAGGTATGGATTTTCTAACGGTAATACTATGATTGATGATATTAGATAATGCTCAAGCCTCTAGATACAGAATCTAATCGACCCCTCAGTTCTAGTGCAATCTCAAACATAAGTATCTAAAGCATCAGCCAATATCTTTTACTTCTACGTTCGATAATTCACTAATGTGCGTTTGTTCAATCTTTGCAATAACTTTTTCTGCATTATTTGTTAATATTTTGAGCAGGTAGGTGGTGCAGCTGCTTATTTGCAGACAGGCTTGTTTTCGGCTAGGCGTTATATCGTGCTCTTGGTTTCTTCAGTTCTTATCATTACTTGGCTCAATCTAAGGTGAGTTACAGAGGTTACAAACAAATTACCGGAGCAATCTTTAGGCTGCTAATTAGAATATTTATGTTTTGTGCATGTGCAGCAATGATGTCTACGATTTTGATACCGGAGCAGACAAGAACAAAAAGGAATCGGTAGTAAATTTGGTTGGCAGGTAACTTGATTCTTTGCTTATTGCAAATGTTTGTTTCTTTTGTTTTATTTCCACTAGCTTTTCCAGCCATCTGATGAAAAAGACACTATTCTGTATTGTGCTCGGGAAAGCCGCTCAGAACCCCTTATTGCTGCATACTTGTCGATTGCACTTGGCTTTATCGGTCTGTCTTGGGTCTCTTTAGATGCAGGAAGCATGAGTTCATTGATCCTACTCACTTGTGCAATCTTTTGTGGTTATGCATATCAGGTAGAGTGAATCTAATTGGAATTGATACAAACAATTTGCAACTATTTTTATCGTGTGACGGGTATGCATGATGAGTGTATCAGGCACGACATGTCATTCATCTACAGTAGGAGTAATGTTTTTTCAGCGATCACTTCTATCCAGATTTATGTGATTGTAATGCATACTTAGCTTTGGAATCCATTGCAGTGCCCACCATTCCGGTTAAGTTACCAAGGATTGGGAGAGCCTTTGTGCTTTGCAGCTTTTGGCCCGTTTGCTACCACTGCTTTCTACCTGTTGCTCGGCAGCACAAGGTTGTTCACTGAAAACTAGTTCAGAATTTCTAGATTGCAGTTTTGTATTCCTTCAATACATTAATTTCGGGTATTTTTGGCAGTGGGACAATCTTCCTCCCCTGGACACGCATGGTTCTTTCAGCATCACTACTCGTAGGCTTGACAACTACCCTTATTCTGTTTTGTAGCCATTTTCATCAGGTTAATATTTCTCGATCTTTTCAACTCTTTTATGTTATTCACATTTTCACCCTAGGTTTTATATGAATGACATGGATGCTGTTTATGTCAGGTTGAAGAAGATATAGCCGTCGGGAAAATGTCACCTTTGGTACGTATACTTAATCTACTCTTGTAGTCTTTTCTTCGTCGCAGAGGCAGAAAAGGAATATTTTTTTTACTACTCCGATCACAGGTAAAGATGGGCACTGAGAGAGGTTCAATGGTTGTGAAAGGAGCGGTCTTCACACTCTATTCTTTTTTATTTGCTCTCGGTCTATTTAGAACTCTTCCAATAACTTGCATTGTAAGTAAAAAGTTAACGTCTGTTTAAGGAAATGCATTTAATCTATCTGATACTAAAAATAGTTCATGGTTCATCAATAAGCTTATTGCAACTGTCTTGTTTGTCTTCGGTTTTATCAGATTCTCTGTGCCCTGACCTTACCTATAGGAAAACTGGTAGTTAACTTTGTCGAAGAGAACCACGAGGTAAGCTGTAAACTTGCATGTCAACTCATCCTCGATGTCGGTAACGAAGATTACCTCAAAGATGCAATAGAAAAGAGTGATTGTAATTATTTCTTGCAGGACAAAGGGAAGATCTTCATGGCAAAATATTACTGTGTGAGATTGCATGCTTTATTTGGAGCTGCAATGACCGCAGGGCTGGTTTCAGCTAGAATACTAGGCAAACCGGTCAGCATATAACACTACAAGAAGTAAAGACGACACTGTCGTGTATCCGAACTTCGAAAGCAATATAAGCAGGAACGGAAGACATAGAAGCGGCAGATATCTTGGACCTCCTCTTTGCTAAACTTTCACCGTGGCACTCCCGCTGCTCCTTCAACCTCATGGCAAGCAGTTTTCTGGTACTTAGCTGCCACTGCCTTGACCTTTGCAATTATCCTTCTCTGCAATTCTGCATGTTTCCTCTGGAATGTCAATGGCGTTGCCAACCTCTGGATTTTTGGAGCTTTACGGACCTTCTTGCCTTCCAAATTTTAAATTAGTCCCAAAGTTTCGGAATGCTCTAATTAATTTGTCAGAAGTATCAATATTATAATTTCTCAAATCATTATTAGTTTTATGCATTGAATGTCAATTCGAATTTGACATGAATTATTTATAAAATACATGGATCAAATGATATACAAGTATGTACCTACCGTAGCATTAACTAGTTTGAGTCTAACATGTTAAGAGAGAAGGCAGTGTGCCATAATTTTTTTAGAAAAAGACTATTTTTCCCAACATTTTAAAGTTTAAGGACCGATTTGTAATATGAGTTGTGATTTAGGATGTCAGATAAATTATTCCGTTCTAGATCATAAATTATTAACTTTGTAGTGTAAAGTACATCCGACGTCATTGAGTTATGTTCAAAGAATCATTTTTTACCATTGAACTTTTAAGAGATACAAAATAATCATTAAAATATTATAATTATGATAAATTTAATAATTATTTAATAATTTGATAAATTTTAATAATTATAATGATCATTTTATAATAATTCAATAAATTTAATGATCATTTTGTGATTTTTAAAAATTTAGTATCTAAAACAATTACTTGAGTATAGCTCAATGACTTTTGGTATACTTTCCCTTTTATTTTCATAAAATTCCAATAAAGTCCCTTTGGTTACATCGGAACTGGAACCAACTCTCATTTCTCCCCAACTGAAAAAAATCTCTCAAATCATTTCGATTTCATTTTTCCAACCAAAATCTCTGAACCAAAAAATCCATGGCCACCCCTTCCGCACGTGACGAGAACGTCTACCTGGCGAAACTCGCCGAGCAGGCCGAGCGCTACGAGGAGATGGTCAAGTTCATGGAGAACGTCGTGTCCGCCGTCCCCGCCCCCGACGAACTCACCGTCGAGGAGCGGAATCTCCTCTCCGTAGCGTACAAGAACGTGATCGGCGCCCGTCGTGCCTCCTGGCGGATCGTTTCCTCCATCGAGCAGAAGGAGGAAGGACGCGGAAACACGGATAACGTCGCCATCATCCGTGACTACAGGGCCAAGATCGAGGCGGAATTGTCCGAGATTTGCGCCGGAATCCTGAAGCTCCTCGAGGAGAAGCTCGTTCCGGCCGCCGGGACCGGTGATTCCAAGGTTTTTTACCTGAAGATGAAGGGAGATTACTATAGATACTTGGCTGAGTTCAAGACTGGCGATGACCGGAAAGTGGCTGCTGAGAACACGCTCGCTGCCTATAAATCTGCTCAGGTTCGGGGTTATTTCATCATTTACTTTTCGGTCTTGCGCATTTCTTTGCTTTGATTTGCTTTATTTCTAGGGTTTGATTAATATATGATGAATATCTTAAATGTCCAAATTAAATTAAAATTCTTCTTGGTGTTGTACAAGAAAGGTCGTATAAAATCAACGAAGCTCATAATTTAAATCTACGAGAAAGAAGCATAAAAAGCACTATATAAATTTAAACCTATCACTCATGTGTAATGTGCATAGCTGAATTTCTTGTTAAAGCCAAGATAAATTGTGTTATGCCCTTTACTTAGCCCCCAACGATCTAAAATTCAAAATAATTTTGGTGTTTTGTGTTAGTTCAGTTATCATAGGGAAATAATACTATTAACTCTTCGCTTTATTGAGCCTTTTCTGTTCAGGTCCCAAATCGATGCAATTTCTGTTTATGTAGACCATTTGACTGCTATTTTCTTTTCTTTAAAGTTCGCAATCAATTTGGATCTGAAGTTTTATTATTATTATTTGCATATGCACACTTTTACATTTGAATAGAAGATATTTACCATTGCTAAAGTGATTATGACTTGTGTTTTGTCCATAATCTGGGCTCCTTTGCAATGTTATCTGCATCCTTTTGTTCTGTATTCTTTGTAGGACATCGCAACTGCTGAGCTGGCCCCAACTCATCCTATCAGATTAGGATTGGCTTTGAACTTTTCTGTCTTCTACTATGAGATCTTGAACTCTCCCGATCGTGCATGCACTCTTGCAAAACAGGTAGGATAATGGGACTTCAGAATTTTAGTTTAGGCTCTGTTTGGTATGAAGGATGGAAATTTTTTAATCTATTGGTTAAGCTACAAAGTAAGAAAGTAGTTATGAATTTTAACCATTTGATTAACAAATTTCCATCCTTCCTACCATGCAAAACCTTAGTCTTTATATTCTTCTTATTCTAAAACGTTGGTGAGCTTTTGTGGTGCGTTTTGATTTGTGTTACAAATCTTATTCTAAAACCTTAGTCTTTATATTCATCTTATTCTAACTCGTCTCCAATAACTATTTGTCAACATCTTTTGTTTCTTTCCTCAGGCTTTTGATGAAGCCATTGCGGAGCTGGATACTCTTGGAGAGGATTCATACAAGGACAGCACTTTGATAATGCAACTTCTCCGTGATAACCTCACTTTGTGGACCTCGGATATGCAGGTCAGACCCCACACATTTCTTTTTCTTTTTGACCTTTATGTTTTGCCTTTTGTATACCTTATTTTGTAATTATTATTTTAACTACTAATATGTTCTTTTATCTATTGTAGGATGATGGGACTGACGAGATCAAAGAAGCTCCCAAACACGAAGAAGAGAAACAAGCCTGAAGTCGCTAATCTTCATGGTAGTGTTTCACTTCTCTGGTTGTTTTTGTATGAAGAAGTCGTTCGGTCCTACTTTCGCCTTCAATTACTCATCTTTTAGTAGACCAGGCCTCAATTTTAGTAATTCACTGGTTATTTGTTCCAAGTTGAATCTTTCTAGCTTTCTAATTGCTGCGAGGTCTCGTATGCACACTTTCTTAATTGTTTTTCTAGACAATAAGGGAACTGATTGAGATATTTCCTAAGCATAAGGTTTGTAATATGCTTTCATTGAACTATACGCTTGATATTTTATGGTGCTTTGTTGTTTTACCATATTGACTATGCATGTTTCTCTTCATTCTCTTTGTCCCCTCATTTATGCTTGATGATGAATTGTCGATATATACGTCTTTGACTATGGTGCTTGAAATTCTTTTGGTCAAAGTAGGTGTCTAATCTTTTATTAGGCAACCATTTTAATGTTTCTTAGTTAATGTCTGTTAAAAGAATTGATTCCGTCATTGATGAAACGAGTTCTGTAAGTTAGTAATAATTTTAAAGGATTTTAGGGTTTCTCAAATCAAAATTGATTTTTCAGAGTTGAATTTTTTATTTCACTTTTGAATAGATGAGTTTTTGAAATTAAATTGTGAGACTTAGAATTTTTAATATAACCTTTTTTTAACTGATGTATTATACAAGTATTCTAATTAAAAAGTAGGCATCTAATATGAATATCCTTTTTTCAATTAATTTTTTTTTGTGCTATGAGATGTATTTATGCTTTTTACCGTCCAAAAAGCACTTTTTTAGTATTGCTTTTTACCGTCCAAAAAGCACTTTTTGACAAAGGGTCTTTGTCATCAAAAGAACTTTTAGAAAATGTATATACTTTATACCAAATCAAGGAGTAGAGTGCTAGGTGTTTTTGGAAACAAAGAAATACAATCGTATTTTCAAAAGCAAATTTTAACAATAATATCAATATTGAATTAGTCTAATATTTATTTATTAAATTTATAATATCCTTTAATTTATTGTAATAATAATAATATCAGTTAAATTAAGATTTTTTTCAATTAATCAATATTTTATTAAGGTATGGGAGTACGGAACAGTAAATATGAAAAGTTTTTTTCAACCGGTTAGGAATAGGTTTCAAATTATTGGTAAGTTGGATGATAATGGCCGACACCACCGGAGCCAGCTGTCTCCGTCGGTCACTGTAGCCACACAAAACTTGAGGTCTGGCAGAACCATTTGTAGTGCGGCCTCAACTACGAACTCTGAGGGTAAGTTTGGTTCACGGAATGTAAGATTACTAGTGAGAATGTAATATTATAGGGAATATGATTATTAAGAATGTTGTATTTTGTGTTTGGTTGATTTAGCAGGAATGTAAGATTGTCATGTGTGGTTAAAGGAATAAAAGACTATTGAAATGTATATTTAATCAAATTGTCATTATATATTTGTTTTTTTAACAAGTTGAAAAATATTTATATATTTTTTTAAAAAAAATTAAATTCATAAAATTCATATAATTTTTTTACAAAATTAAAAATATAAAAATGTTTAATGAAAGGGTAAAAATTTATTTTAACCCCTGAACTTCATATAAAATTTTAATTATAGATTTTTTTTGTAAATCTAAAATAGTTTAAGGATAAATTTGTAATTTAACATTCGTAGAATTTTTATTATTCAATGACAGAAGAATGATATTTTTGAAGAAAAAAAATTAAGGGCATTTTAGTTCAAAACACCGATAATTCAACAATACCTAAGGAAAGGGAGATAATGACATTCCCGGTAATATACCAAAAAAATCCACTATTGGTAATCTTACATTACCGGGAATGGGATTCCCGGGCTAACCAAACGGAGGAATGTGGATTTTATTCTCATGAGAATCTCACATTCTCCATCCAAACGCCCCTGATTTGTTAATTTTAGATTAAATATTTCTATTTGTCCTATACTGATGTTGTGGATTAAATATTTATTTGATTTTTTTATTTTTTATATTTTGATATTTCGATCTTAAATCAAACAATAGTAGTAAAATGAATTAATAATCGTTGTATTATGCATAAATTATAATTTCTATTTTATTTCTTAATTTAATAAACTTTTTGTCTTTGTAATTTAATCATATATACTATCTATGTATTATTTAGAATAAGACTAAAATTTTAAATTTTAAAAATATGTGGATTAGAATTGATTAAATTGAAATATAGTGATTAAATTCACAATTCATTTATAATGATGACAAACAATATCATTTTAATGTTGATTAACATCAGAGCAAGTATATTTGGCATCAAGTTTTTTATCTTTATTTTTTATATTCACTTAGATCATAAATTCTATATATATATATATATATATATATATATATATATAAATTCTTATTTTATTTAATAAAATTAATAATTATATATATATGTATGCGTCCACGCACATGATATTAGAATTTGTCTAAACTCAAGTCAGATCGAATGACAAATAAAATAATATTATACACAAATCAAATTCAAATATATAAAAAATTTGAACAACCCAACTCATGACTGTTTAAACAAACCGGGCTAGGTCCTAACCCGATCCTAAACATACCGGGCTAGGTCCTTATACTCTTTTATATTGGAGTATTTATTTATTTTAAAGTAAAAAAATGGCTCACACAAAGTATTCCCGACCCATAACTGATTTAACTTCCACCTTCATTATGTTATTGATTTCAATTTCGTTTTGAAAATTTCATTACCCGGAAATCAGTTATTAATTTCAATTTTCTCTCAAAATTTTGAGCAACAAAAAAAATACGTTATGGAAATTGATAAGCAAACGGCGATCGCCAAAACCCAATAAGAGCGACGGCGAAAGGAAGAGGAGCTTGCATCACTCACATCTCACACACACACTGGTTAAATTGATAATCTCAATCTTTACCGCGGAACGGAAATAGATGCCACGCTGGTTAAATTTCTTGCGCGTACGGTGAGATTGATTCATTCATTGTAATCTTAAGTAGCATCCTTTGAAATGGTTATACTAATACGGCAACTTAGGAGTTCTATTGGTAGCAAAAGGATCTTGAATTCAAACTTATTCAGTATAGCTGGATTAGCTTCCGAAGTTTTTGGGGCTAAAGCTCTGATAATTGAATTTTAGTTTCATGAGCCTTCGGCATTTTCAAGCGAAGGTGTTGTGTTTCTTTACAAGTCCATCGAAATGTCCTCTCCTTTACTTTCTCTAATGTAACTAACCAGATTTTCATACCCTTTTTAAAAAGGTTTTCTTTCCATTTAATCTGTATTTGTTGAGGACAAACGAGATTAATTATTAATTACGTTAGTGATGACAAGGTTAGAGATACAGTTTGGAAGATCAGAAACAAACCAAATAGGAGAATTACATCCGAGTGCCCATTGAGCTAAACCATGCGCAACCATATTAGCTTCTCTACGAGCAAATACAAACTCTGATTCTAGGGTGCAAAGCGAGGAGTTGTCGAGCTTCGGATAGATGGGTGCCCACTATAGAGAGGTCGAGAGAGGAGTTGTTTAATCTAGTCACAATATTCAACGCATCTCCTTCAATAATAATATCTTCCCAGCCATTTTTAGTGGCTAAAATTATGCCTTCTGTAAAATCTTTGGCCTCTACCATTTCAGCTGAAAGGTAGTCTTCCATTCTTCTTGCATGTCCTCCAACAACAAGGCCATTATGATTATGGGTCTCTGGCCATGATCCCTAGGGCAGCAACCTTAGTCTCTGCATGCCAAGCACCATCAACGTTGATCTTCAGGCCGCCGTGTTGGGGACGTTTCCAGCTGGGTTTTTGGGGATGTCTTGTCAATGAGTTTCCAGCCGGTGCACATTTGAAATTTGAAAGAAGTAATGCGTTGTCATGTACAAGTTTAGAAGGTTGTAAGTTGTTCTCATACACCCATTTGTTTCTTCTGTTCCATATACTCCAAAGCAACATAAGCAGTAGGGAAAAGCGGTCTGAGTCAATGAGATTGACAACGTGGTTTAGCCAGTCTTTGGGAGAGGTTAGGGACGAGTTTAAAACAGCGACTGTTCAAGGTTTGAAAGATAGAACTTCTCCAGCCAGGGGGCAGTCGCGAAGTGCGTGTGAGACTGATTCTTCTGCAGCAGTGCACATTTTGCAAATGCCTTCATCCAGACCAGCAGTGAGGAGTTTAGAGCCAACGCCTCATGGTAGATGCGCCAGCCAAAAATTTGATCTTTGGGGGGATGGGGGCTTTCGCGAGGACTTGCCACAGTTTGGAAGGTTCTCTTTCAACGTTTTTCCATTTCAGCAATCAATGGTAGGACGATCTTGTGGAGTATACGCCTATGGAATGGTGGCTCCATATTCTCAAGTCGAAGCAAACTGGTGCAATCGGGCATTCCAAGATATTTGTAGCGTCTGCATGGTTGAAGATCTGACGGATTTTAGCGGCGTTCCATTTGTTTGTACCTTGGATCATAAATTCCCTACATTCAATGGGATTAGTGTAGTTATCCATATAGTTGTTTTGAAAGACAACTTTAGAAAAACCACCCCAATTTCAATGTGAACCGTTGGGCCACATCTTCCAAATTGCTCAGGAGTTGGCGCGAAGGGGCGGAGCTCTCGGTTCTTGGCTGTTGGGTTAGTATTTTGGGTTAAATGAATAAAATAAATTAAAATGAAACAGAAAAAGCGCCTTTGGACCCATTACGCAAATTTCTGCATTAATATAGCCGCCCTTTCAAATTAAGCCTGATATAATAAACAAACCAAAAAGCTCCTTTGCAAATGCAAAACCAACCTTTAGTTTCTCTTTCCTACTGTTTTTTGGCAAAACAAGTGGTGAAGAGAAAATGAGAGATAATTCCCAGGTAATATCCATCTAGTGTAAAACATATTAGAATAGATTGTTGTAATAATATTATGTGGATTAGATAGAGAAGGAGATACAAAGAAAGATGTTGTTTTTCTATTTGATCTCCTTGCCTTTAACACTGGGGATGGTGATTTTGACTTTGAAATATTTCGCGGCCCCGGAAGTTCCTAATTATGTTCTTTTCACCGTTGGATATACATGGTTTTGTTCTTTCTCCATCATCATCCTTGTACCTGCTGATATTTGGACGGTACTTTCCTTAGATTAACACCCTTAATTCTATCTTGCAATTCTTCTGATTGTATTTCTCAATTTGGAAATACTGGATGGAAATTTAAAGCTTTTTCTAAAGATGAATTTTATTTGATCAATGCTGGTATGGGATTGGAATACTTATTCCAATTGTCAGCTTTGAAAAGAAAACAAAAAGAAGATCAATAATAGAGAAATGGGCATCTGAAGTCTATGCCCTATCTTGTTTTCTAAATGGCATTGAAGTTCTAGACATTTGCTTTCGCCTAGAAATTATGCATGAATTTGAATTCATTGCTTTTTTTTCTTCCCTTTCATCATGCAGACGATATTTGGTCAGTACAGCAGAGGGATATCTTTCTTTTGGAGCCTAACCTATTGGAGTACATTTTTGCTAACTTGGTAAATACACTGTTATCGGCAGAATTGTTTTGCAGCATCTTTCTGCATTTCGAAATATCTTATATACTTGTGTCATTTGATTGTTGCGCTTTAATGACCTTTTGTTTATTATGTTGCGGTCTAGTGTAAACATTTTAGAAGCTTCATGCTTAAAAGCTGCATGTATTCTCATTGGTTTATATTAAACTATTTCCTAAGCAGGGGTGTGGTGCCTACTATTCAGGGTTATGAAGATGCTGGAGATTTCACCGTGGTTGAAAGATTGAAGACTAGCTTACATGAAAACTTGGTCTTCTACCTATGCGTTGGTTCTGTTGGACTTGTTGGACTCGTTTTATTCGTTATTTTCAGCAAAAATTGGTTTGTTTTCCTTTTGTAGCAACTGATTGCTCTGATTTTTATTCATCCTTTGTTCCTTATCTTGTTTGTCAACATATGGTTATTCCTGGATAGTTTTTCGTTTTAAGGTTAGGTGCTAAATTGGTGTATTTAGTAACTTATTCTTGTTAGATATTCCCGTATCCTTTTTTTTGTTTGGTAAAGGACAAGGTCCTTTTTCATCTTCATCTATTCTTGTATTTATGTCAATCTGTTTGTATTATGTAAACCTTAATGAAAATAGGTTGTGAACTTTGACCGTCTTTTCTCCTACAAATATCTGCTTCTGTGTTTTGACTGCTGATTTTTCTAGCATCCTTTGTGTTGATTAATCCCTTTTTTCCTTTTGTGGGAAGGAGTGGAGACATTCTTGGTTTTGCCATGGCTTGCTCCAATACTTTTGGACTTGTTACTGGTGCGTTCCTTCTTGGCTTTGGTCTTAGTGAAATCCCTAAGGGCATTTGGAAGAATGTGGATTGGACTTTTCGCCATAAGGTTCTCTCACACAAAGTTGCTAAAATGGCTGTTAAACTTGATGATGCTCATCAAGAATTTTCTAGTGCTATTGTTGTAAGTAAATCTATAACTTTTTCATTCATAAATTCAACAGAAAGGAAAAAAATATACAGATCATGGTGATAATTTATTTACATATTGAAGAACTTTCTTTGTTAGCACTAATGAAGGTGAATTTATTTAGGTTGCTCAGGCGACCTCAAATCAGATAAAGAAGCGTGATCCTCTAAGACCGTATATGAATATTATCGATAGCATGTTATATGAAATGGTACCCCTCTTTGTCAATGGGTCTGTTTAGTCTCAAAATGTAGTTTCATGTACTTTCCTCAAATACATTATTTTCTGTTTTGCAGTTAAAAGAAGATCCTTCCTTCAAGCCTCAAGGTGGAAGGTTTGGGGAGAATGATATGGACTACAATACTGATCAAAAATCAATGGCAACTCTCAGACGTCGACTTAGGATAGCTAGAGAGGAATACTGTAGATACCGAAGGTACACCTATTTTGGTTTTTATGGCATAAAAAGGACTCAGATGTTGCTGTAATATGCTGCCAAAGTGTTCGTTTTTTCCTTCTTTTTTCTCTTTTCCTCTGATAAGTGAAGTTAACCGTTAAGACTTTTGCAGTGAATATACGAGCTTTGTCTTGGAAGCTCTCGAACTGGAAGATACTATAAAAAACTACGAGCTCCGTAATATAACTGGATGGTTTGTACTTTGCGCTTATACTACCCTTGCCTTCATATTAAGCTATATTCTTTTTCCCCCTGATCTCATCTGCAGGACATCAATCAACCCTACACTGAAATTATAGGTTCCTTAGGTGTATGAAAACATGTTTAAGTACTTATTAACACTATGATTAATGAATAAATTACTGTAAAAGATTATAAAATTCTCACACCTTGTAAGCATATCAAATTTAAAAGTTAATGTTTACACACCTTTTCAATGATTTCATAAATTAGAAATTTATGAGAAAAAAATGGAAACAATTTACGATTTTGGGAAGCCATTTAATTTTAGTGATATATATCTCAAAAAATTCATAACATTACATTGCATGGCCATGGCCTCCTCTGTCTCTACAACTGATATGCACATAAGGTGCATTTTATTAGGGATGGTAAAGTTATTTACATATATTCTGATTTGTTTATTATCATGTATGCACAGTGACGGATCCACACCTAGATTAGGGTGGGCAAGTGTATACCATGAAATCTGAATTTTCTTCAGTTATTTACCTATTTTACTGATGGTGCACACCCTAAAATTTAATTTGTGTCCACCCTATACAAAAATCTTGTGTTGTTAATATATATGTGCCCACTCTAAATTTTTTTTTCTGGATCCAACATTAGATAAAGTGCACATGAAGTAGCTGATCTGTTCAATAGAATGTTCTCTACATTTTCTGGATTAAATTATATAATCTTTGCATGCCATGGAGTGGCGGTTATAAGAACTTGTGTTGCTGTTTTGTTAATGAGAAGCTTGTCTAGAATTTAGAAACCATTCATTCCTGTGTAGGTTATATCAAATAGCCAATTTATATTTGAAGGATAAAATCAGATTAGTTTACTACAATTTAGAACTTGTTTGAAGGGAGTTGTCATTATATTCTGTTAAACCAATGGTTACTTTGGAAATGAATGGTAGTATTAATGAGGCTTAAAAATGCTAAATATTTTGAGTTGTTGCATCCTGCTGCATGATCTATGAGTTGCTATTCTTGTTGGCATCATCATCATCATCTAAAATATAAGTTAGAAGTCAGTTCACATTCAAGTTTTTTTGGTGCTATCCATGTATTCTATCATGGCTAAAAGTGTTCCTTTTTTTAAAAAGTTTGCCCCAGATTCATTTTAAGGTGTTGCAGGAAATTTGTTTCAAGTTTCAAGCCCGAACGAACAGGCAAATTAGGGTCCTCTTTTGATATGATGGGTAATTGCTTTATTCTGAATGCTTTCCTTTATCTTATTTTCATTAGAAGCTGAGTTTCTGGGTGCCGAATAAACCTATCCATCTAGGTACTTAAAGTTCGCTATTTCATCTGTTTTATGATTTCCTTTTAAAATTAGTTATTCCTTGCAGAGTTCGTCTGGCGTTGTGTTCTAAGAAAGCAACTAGAGAAACTCTTTGCAATAATTCTGTGTTGTATGTCTGCTGCAATTCTTTTAGCAGAAGCTACCATACTGCCTGTTGGAGTTGATTTATCTCTCTGCTCCATCCTCATAAACTCCGTGGGAAAGCAGGAAATGCTCGTCCAGGTAATATATTGAGAAACTGGATTCTTTAATCTCAAATTTGTAAATTGCTTATTACACTAATATATATGCTAACAAAGAACTGAATTACAGTAATCAACCCTACAATCTCTATATGTCAGTAACAAATTCACCAGTGAACATTTCATATGCCTTCTTAACTCCCTATTAAAAACCAATAACTGGAACACAACCTAATTTATAGCGTGTCAATTGCTTATCTGCTACTAACACTGAATCAAAATTTGGTAACGTTTGTCAACGTTTGACTAAATAGTCACTTTGATCCATATTTTTTAGCACTTTGACCTTCAGTGTTTCATTTTAGCCTAAAATGATCTCTGATTGGATGGAAACCATTAGTAACCATTAGTTGACTAACGGACAATGCTCTTCGCTGGCGTGACAAGACTCGTGTCCAAAGCATTGATGTGACACATACCACATATACATGAGTGATTATGTATTGCGTCAACTAACAGTGTATTGACTGTTAATTAACTAATGGTTTTCATCAAACGTGTCATGTAGGACCAAAATTCTGCATTCGATGATTTCTCCTTGTCCACCAACTCCTGACCCATCACCCTAATCGATTTAAGCTGAGAAATGGTGTATTTGGGTGGAATCTTAAATGATCTTGTTGGTTTGCAGGTTATTGCATTTGTCCCTCTGATGTATATGTGCATCTGCACCTATTTTTCCTTGTTCAAAATTGGAATGCTGATGTTCTATTCATTAACACCAAGACAAACAAGCTCAGTCAGCTTGCTTATGATATGCTCGTAATTCTTCTTTTTTCTTTCACCTTAAAACTTTTACTTGTTCTCTCATTTTATTAGGATCTCACTCCTAAATGTATCAGGATGGTTGCACGATATGCTCCTCCAATTTCATACAACTTCCTTAATCTTATCCACTTCCCTGATAATAGAAAAACCATCTTTGAGAAGGTTAGTAGTTTTGCTATTTAATTTTGCTTTTCTTGATGCCATCCAGCTACACGGACGGACGCAAGACTTTTATGATAAGGGATGAAAACAAATTGTCAACAAAAAATATAAAGAAAATACATAATTTATATGAGAATTTAGAATTTTCTAGGATGAACCGCCCCGCCAACCCCCTCTCGGTCCATCCCATCCAACGACATTATGATATTAATGTTTCAATCTTGTGCATCAGTTGTTCAAAGCAGTTAAGGTTATTAGATTGAGTTTCTCTTAAAAGGTATTTGATCATCTTAAAATCTCATGTAACATATATGCAGCGAATGGGGAACATAGACGATGCAGTCCCTTTCTTTGGTAAAGGGTTCAACAAAATCTATCCTCTCATCATGGTTATATACACATTGCTACATGTGGCAAACTTCTTTGATCTGGTCATTGATTATTTTGGAAACTGGAGATCAATGTTCAATTTTCAAGAGCAAGATGAGGATACAGATGGATTCGACCCATCGGGACTAATCATCTTGCAGAAAGGTAAATTACCACACCTTGCTATCATCATGCTAAATGTCATAGTTTCTTCTTTGTTTTCTATAAACTACACGTTTTGAATCAACACTTCTTTTCAGAACGGGCTTTGCTTGAGCGAGGGCATAATGTTGGTGAGCATATTATTCCTTTGGCAAGGAATTTCGGCAGTGTGAGTGTTGACATTGAACCTAGCAGCAATGAGATGGTATGTCTGCTCTTGCATTTATACTTTTCATTTTTTCTATTGAAGTAACTCTCTGAAAATGGCATTCATATCATGAGTACGAGGCTGAATCCTCCAAATGCATAGTAAAAGGTAACTGAGCATACTCATGTTAGACGTATTCTTGTACCCAATACTCACATAGAAGTCCGAAATCCGAGTAACATTTTAAAAATGCTCTTTTGGTATATCAAAAGCATGCCAATAACTTTGGTCGTGCACATTTTTTGCTTTTACGTGATTATTTTACTTGGAAACGGTATCAGGAGATGGATACTGCAGAAATCGGAACAATGAGGGAATTTAGACCTCTGAAAGAAGAGGTTCAACAGGTCACAAGCAGAGAAGCCATTGACAAGAAATATTCCACCTTAAGAGAACAGAACAAGCAAGCGTCGAACACAAAGTCAGCTCGCGAAGAGTCGACTTCCTTCAAGAGTGCAACGAGACCACCACCTGAAAGATCAGCCTCAAAATGGGAATCAATGAATTCTGGTCTTCTAAATTTCAAATCCATCCTGGAAGTGAAGAAATACCTCCCTTTACGCCAGACCCAAGAAAACACTGTGTCCTCCTTGGCTTCCTCATCGGAATCCCTTGATGAGATTTTCCAGAGATTGAAACGACCAACTCTGGACCTTAGAGACTACAATGCTGAAAATGATCTTTTGTTTTGAACACGACACCGAGTTCAGAAACTTTGGTCAGTCTAGATAGAAAATGTAGCAATTCCTGGAACAGAATCAGAAGACTTGTTCATTTTTCACCAAGGACCGAAGCATGCGTGTTTTTGTAGCAAGCTGAGTGCCAACTATGGTACAATTCACATCATCTGTACACTTGTAAGTTGTAATAGTAAACATTGATTATGAATGTTTGCTTCCTTGTTCCTACAGATTATTTGTTGAATCTAATACGATGGAGTTCTCTTTACAGTTAAATGAGAGCCATTCTCATTTTCATCACTTTCTTTGTTTTACCTGTAAGTTAATACACATTGGAATATACATGCCTCTATAGTTGTTTGAAATTAAGTGCAGGGCGAAACCTGGAATTATTATAAGCTAGACGAAGCGAGGTGACTCGGATCATTCAGAACAATTTTATTCTGATCAAACCATCCAGATTGTTGTTGTGCAGATCAATCCCCAAAAGAGAAGCAGAGAAGGACTGTAGCTTTCTCAGCCTCTCGAAAACATCTGGAAGTCTACCAACAAAGCCATTTGAGATATCCAATTCAATAAGGTTAGAAATGTTACCGATCCCATAACTCGTAGGCCCTGAAAACCAATTTTGTTGGAGGTGCAATACTCTGAGAAGTTGTAGCCGGAACAAATTCTCCGAGAAAGTTCCTGACAGACCATTTCCATTAAGGAAAACATAATGTAATGAAGTACAGTTCTCCAAATATATTGAACCGTCTCCGAAGAAATTATTTTCAAGAATAAGATACCGGAGCTCCAAATATATTTCAGTTGTCAATTCAACCATGCAATAGTTATTTGATTGTATTATTTGAACTTGTAACTTAAAAAATATTTATTCATCTGAACTGTGAACTAGTAGCTGGGTTTTATGAATCCCTAAGAAAATACAACATCATCATGTGAACGGTAAAGAAGCTTTTCCCCCAAAAAAAATGACTTCTTACAACAGGGAAGAATGAGACTAACAGAGTAAATCAGAAGAGACCCAAAAATTTCCACCAGAAGCTTCCAACGACGACCCAGATGATGGCATTAATAAAAGCCATGACAAATCCCATTTTGAATACATCAGGCAGGTCTATGTATCCGGCTGTCAAAAAAACAAAAGAATTCATCACTTACCCGATGCAAACATAGTATAGAGACTCTATTAAGATGTTGGTATATTTAGCAATAATACTTGCACACAAAAGCAGGCTTTCTGTCAAAGGCACGGTGCTCATGTGCATGTGTACAATAGAAAGTGAAGAAAACGAGACGCACCTCCATAGTAGACAGCGGCCTGACCACTGCTATAATGTGTTATGGAACCAAAAAGATTGGTGTTGTAAGCAAGAGCCAGCGCTGCTAATATACCAGGCACCCCAGCCGCCAAGTGCATGGCAAGAAAAGCGGAGTATAATGCACCAACATGACCAGTTTGACTTGCAAATAGGTAGTGGATAAAGAAGTATGATGCTTGAAGAACACCAAATGCAGCCGGCCAGCTCAAAGAGAAAGATTGAAGGAACTTAGCTACACAACCAGACATCCAGCTCACAATCCCAAGGTTTGTCAATTGGCCTGCCATGCCTACCAAAACAGCAAACCAAGCCAATGTATCCCAAGCTGATTTTTCGCTTAAGCAGTCATCCCAGTCAAGCACGCCTAGCAAGAGGAGTATTGACAAACCAATCATTGCAGCCACAACGCTTGGTATACCAAGTTTCTCTCTGCATATGATTCCGGAAATACCAATAAATCAGAAAAGTAACCAATTATATGTTCTGAAGCAAACATCGAAACCGGAAATATCAATAAATCAGAGAAGTAACCAATTATATGCTCTGAAGCAAACATCAAAACCACAAAAATCATAGCTACAATCTTGCAACCTATGAGCATGCATGGAGACTATCTATAAATGGTAAAAAGAATAAGGTTATAGGATGCATGCATACAAGGCAAAATCTGAGGAAGTTCTCTATTTGCACGTTGATGCTAAAATCAACCAAAGCACAGATGAGTGATTGCTTAATTTTCTGAACAACCATGCTTCAACACTTCAAATTATATTCCTCGAAACAAATCATTTCCTAAACATTAGATTACACAACTGATTGAAGTTCAACTTCATCTTCATTGATGCATCTACAACTTCATCTATTTTTGATGCCGAGGCTTCCAGGTTTTATATCTGATGACCGATATGTCAAAAGTATAATCACATAATTTTTTTCAGAATACGAGACAAAAGTAAAACAAGATGGTATACTCATTTTAACATTCACATGACAGTAGACTTCGCATGTGCAAAGCTTAACAAGGGAGGGTAACAAGTAAAGGTAGCTAATGAAGTATTTCCATGTACACACGAACATTAGATGCAAAGATATCGATGTCTCAACTCAAATAGAAAGAGAAGTGAACTGGTATGATGAACTGCCACTTATGACTTACCCACAGACCCATAGAGTAACTGCAAGAAGCATCGTTCCAACCATGACCCATTCATTTCTAGTGATGGGACCCATGTTCTCTAGTTTCTTTGCTGCCATTGCAGGGGCATCTGGTGTATCTTTGGTTTCAGGAGGGTAGAGCTTGTACAAAACAAGCGGAGTAAGCAGTAGAGAAACAAGTGCCGGTACACTAGCAGCCTTGAACCACGAAACCCAAGGACTCGAAATAATAATCCCGAGCTCCTCTGCTAATTTGAGGCATAGCAAATTTTGTGCCGCTGCTGTCAGGAAAAGAGCACTAGAGTTTCCAGCAGACTGCCATAGATGATCCACCAGTAATGTGTAAGACAAAGACCCAAAGCTACTAATGCAACGAGGAACAAAAGATATTCACAAATCCAAATGACATATAGAAATCAAAGAGCCTTACTAGTTACTACATGAAAACCCCGAATCCGGATTAATCCAACAGAGTAACAAAAGTTTACTTCCAGAATCTAAAAGTATAAAATCAACTAACAATATAAAGAGCCTGACCATACTAGAAACCCATAATCCATATTATTCTATCATATGTCTACTTCCGGAATCCAACATTATAAACTTAATTATTCCCAAACATAAATTCAAACTAAGAATATAGAGAAAAATAAACTAAGAAGGTGATGATTACTAATGAACTAGAAATAAGGCAAACCTGAAACTGAGATTGAATTAGATAACTCCCAAGCTTCTTAGATGAAGAATCTCCAGGTCGGCTTCCAGCAGAAAGAGACAAGGACTTGATAATGGGCAAGAAAACCCCACCAGCTCTAGCTGTAGTACTAGGCATCGCCGGCGCAATCAAGGCCTCACTCAAAGTCAGCCCATAAGACAATCCCAACGTGCTTTTCCCCAAGCATTTGACGAAATAAGTAGCGATCCTATCACCGAGCCCCGTTTTAACGAATCCGCGAGCGAAAAAGAAGGAAATGACGATCAACCAAATGACTTCATTGGTGAAGGCACTGAAGGCGGATACAAACGGCAGTGTTCCTGTGACAACTGAAGTTGTGAGGCCAATAAAAGCCCAAGCTCCGACGGGTAAAGGGCTCAAGACTAAACCGGCGATTGTGGATAAAAAGATGGCGAGGAGCTGCCATGCTTGTGGGGTTACTTCAACGGGTTTGGGGACTAGGAAACGAACAATGAGACTTATGGAAACCGAGAGAAACAAAGGAAAGAGCTTAGCTCCTTGGGGAGGCGGAGGGGAGGTTGTCGTTTTAGACGGTGGGTCGTTGTCGTTTTGAGAAGCGGCCGCCCGGATAGGTGAAAAGAGGGGCTTAGATCGTTTCGAAAGTGCGGCGAATAAGAGGGGCTTGATCGGAGATCGGAGGGTGGGGATCGAAGAAGAAGGAAAAACGGACGGTTGGGATGATTTTACGATCAGTTTAGAGAGGCGGTGAAGAGAAGTGCGGGAGGAAAGTGAGAAACAAGTGGTGGAAGCGGTGGATAGAGAGTTGAGGACTAAACTCTCCATTGTTTGGATTGAGAGAAAATGAAAGAAAAAAATGGAAATCAAGCGAAGGTAAAATCGAAGACTGAAAAAAAAAACGGTAATCCCGAAGAGGGTGATGAATCTAATTCTCTGAAACTGGTGAATCGGGTCGGGTTTGTTTAGAGGGAAATTTCATAAACTTTTGGGTTATAATACAAATCGGTATATAAATTTAAAATTTTTTCTTAAATCGGTAACTAAACCTGAAATATTTCTCAAAATGGTATCCATGTTGACATAGCACCTCAACATCCACTTAAGCATTACGGGTGTATTCAGATTGATTCGGTTTATTTTTTAATAGAAGAAGAATCTGATTGTATTGTACGGTTTTAAAAAAATTAAATTAAAATCGGATGATATAAAAGTTAAAAATTTTGGTTCGATTGATTTTACGACTTCTAATTGTTTATCATTTTTCAAAATCAACATCCAATAAAAACAAACTTCAAACTTAAATCGTGTACAAACACGGAAGTTTAAATTTATAAAAGAAAATATTATTAGTTTTAAGATTTTATTTATTTAAATTTGTCTTATACCAAACAAATTCAAAAAGAATTTGATTTGGATCATTTATCTTTTCTTTTTAAATTTGATTTGATTTAGAATAAAGAGTTTCTACATGAAAACAAATCGAAATCGAATCTAATTAATATCATTAGTTGCAGAAAATCACATCATCAACATGTACCAACTTGAGAATACTTCCCACATTTAGGTACCAATCTGATTTTTTTCTAAGTTCAAGTACTAATTTAACGTAAAAATATTCACATATCAATTTTAAAAAATATTTACAAAATTCAGGTACCAATTTATGTAATAAACGTAAATTTTTTGAGCCGATCGCTTCTTGGATAAAGGTCATTTTATCTTTTCCTCCACCAATTTTCGTAGCCATTAACAATAGACAACGAAAGCATCTGTTTTAGAATTGTTTTTTATTCCATTGTCACCTTCTCCATAAAAACAAATTTATCATAAAATTTAATGAAAATCAAAAGAAAAAAAGAACAATTGATCGGATCATAGTCCGATTAATATTATTGTTATTACAATAATGCAGAATTAATATATAAGAGGCGGAGTTTGAATTGATTTCAAGGGAAATGGAAGTCATATTTGAATTTAAGAGATCATAATAGGGTAGTTTAAGTTTATTTAGTTTAACGATCGTCAACGTTAACGGTCAACTTGATGACTAATCATGATGAACAGTGGTCAAAATTTGACTGATTTTT